TCATGAGGCAAGGAAGTCCCTGACCTAGCTCTCGCCTGGCGCCATTTTTTCCCTTTGCTCCTTTCATCATGTGTTAGGGGAATTAGTTACAGTTCTTGGAGATGGCGCGTCACCATCTCCCTTGTTTTTTTTCCGGGCTGCCCCACCAAGGTTTCCCAATGCCGCCTGGGTGGGACACACTCAGCTAGGGTGATGGCCCTCAGACTCGGCACCTCTCTGTGGGCTTCTGGAGCACCCAGTACACATGTGGGGCACAGCATTTCCGTACAGTGTGTATTTTAATTACCCATTCACTTTGTAGCTCCAGAAGCCTTTGAGCTACTTACTGTATAATGCATGAAACATGAATAAGAGAAAGGAGCTGCTCTATTCCATTGAGTATAGAGCCGAGAGAGCAGAGATCCACACTCAGGAGCTGCAGACACAGCAAGTGGCAAAGCTGAGAGGAGAAGCCAGGTTTCCGAATGCCCCGCCCGCCCCGCAGTGCTCAGTGCCGAACTCCAGATTCTTAGCATGCCACAGCTGTTAGGTTTCCCTGGTTTCCTACTGATCTTTGAATTCATGAAGGCACTAAGATGGGGCTGCGATCAGAGGTAGTCAGAATTAAACTCCCATTCTAGCTTTCTAATCTTAGGAAAGCCATTTAACTACTCTTAGTTTTTTTTTTCTTTTAGAAAGAGATTTTTGTTATAGGGCACATGTGCTTATTAGAGAGAGAGAGAGAGATATTTTTGTGATAGCGCACATGTGTATTTGAGAGAGAGAGAGAGAGAGAGAGAGAGAGAGAGAGAAATCACCCTCCTATGGGGTATGGTCAAGCTGCAATCCCTTACTCTTCATTTTCCTCCTGGGATTTTGGGCACACACGCACATGCGCCTGGCATGAGTTTCAAGCTTCTAGGTCCAGGACTTGAACCACAGTCAACCATGTGGGAGTCCAACACTTTACTCCACCGGCTGGCCCTTTAACTACTCTCAAGTCTAAATGGGATAATGTCAGTTCCTTGTAGGACTGTGAGGGGACATGAGATAGCAGAAAAGCACCTGCTATGGTTTGAATATGGCCCCCTCCAATTAGTGTGTTGAGTCAATGTAACAAAATTAAGTAAGTAAAAACTTGATATAGTTCACGTGGGGCCTCCAGGAGTGATTAGTTATTAGGGTAGGGCCCCTTGATTGGTTTCTGGTAGGTTTATGAGAAAAGGCAATGAGACCAGACCAGACACCCAGGGAGCACACACCCTGCTGTCCTGTCCTCCACCATGTTGTACCATAGCCCCCAGAGGTGGCCCCTGGACTTTGGACCTTCAAACCGTGAGCTGAATAACCCTCTATTCTCTTAAATGGTCTGGACTGAGGTGTTTTCTGTTACCAGTAATGGAACAGACTAGAACAGTGCCCGAGTCACGGTGGTTGCTCCGATGATTAGTTCTCCTTCCTTCTTCAAGGCCTTGGCCATTGCTAAGAAAGCCACCCCATCCATGGGACCAAGTCTATTTTGGCTTCATAGACATTACCTCAGAAGAAGCTGGATTGGGCTTGGAACTGTCTTAAAGAGAAAAAGAGAGACGGAAACAACATTCTTCTGTTTTCATTATCTTTAATCTTGCTTTGGTTTGTATGGGTCCACCCCTGGTGCCCCCACCCCCAAATTCATGTACTGAAATTTGGTGGTGATAGTACTAAGAGTATAGAAACTTAAGCTGACTGTGGGATTAAGAGGTGGCGCCTTGGGAGGTAACTAGGATTCAGATAAGGTCATCAGGCGGCCCCCATGATTTAATACTGTGAATTCATAAAGTGAGAGTGAGACCAGAGCAGAGACAGGGGGACACAGGTGCCGTCTAGCTCTCTCACAGTGTCATGCTTGGTGCTGCCTCAGGAGTGCAGGGAGTCCCCACAGAGAAAGTCCTTGCCAGATGCAGCCCCTTGACTTTGGACCTCCAAAACTGTGAGCTAAATCAGCCACTCCTCTATAAATTACCCAAGCAACGGAGAATGAACTAGAATAGTCCCTAAATCTAAATTATACAGGTCAACATTCTCTTGCTATTCTAGAATTTGAGGTTGGTACCTACAGACGTGGATATCTGCATGATTAGATGAGATGCTCAAATTACAAGTCTTAATTGAGCACCTACTATACATAAACAAAATGATCCATCTCTGCTTTATGGATCACGGGTTCATTAAAGGTAAACTGTGAAATGTAGCAAAACCAAGGTAAAAATGTAGGACTAGGGGCCAGTAGGTGGCATAGTGGTTAAGGCGTTGGACTCCGATAAGGTTAACTGCAGCTAGAGGCCCAGACCTGGCAGCTTGAAAATCACACCAGACATGTGTGTATGGTGCCCAAAATCTCGGGAGGAGAATGGAAGAGAAGGGATTGCAGCATGACCATCCTCCACCCAAGCCCGGGGTGATTTCTCACTTTTCCTCTCACTGTTTCTCTCTGGTGAGAGCACGTGCCCTTTGGCAAAAACCTAAAACAAACAAACTAACAAAACGTAGGGCTATAGCTGTTGAGAGAAGTGAGAGATGAACTTTACCTAGAAGAGATTCCAAAAGGTTTTAGTGAGTGGGATTTGAAGTATAGCCATGAATGTTGATAAATAAATGTGGGCTTGGGGGTAGCAAGGAAATTGTCAGGGAAGAAAACAACTTAGCAAAGGCAAAGAAGAGACTAAAGAGGAGAGAATGTTGGGACCAGCAGGTGGCAGAGTGTTTAAGGCACCGGACTCCCACATGGCTGACTGGTTCAAATCCTGGACCTGGAGGCTTGAAAATCATGCAGGGCACATGTGCATGAGTGCCCCAAATCTTAGGAGGAGAAAGGAGGAGAAGGGATTGCTGCATGGCCTCCCCACTTGGGGGATGTTTTCTCACT